TCGAATTAGACGTTCCATATATGTTTTTGACCGTCTCGATGAGAGGAACGCAATGGTGAAGTCCATTTCGCATTTTGACAACTTCACAAAATGAACATTTTTGGTTGTCAACGGGTTCTCTGGTCATGCCACTCTTTTTTATTTTTGGATTTGTTTATACAATATTGAGGTGTTTTGGGCTCTTCCAACACCCGAATTTTTTCTTCGTATTTTCTTCTTTCTCCCAACGCCCCGCCGTGGTATGGTCTCGTTGGAGCTCCACGGCTGCAGCCGCGGCGGTCTCCCCCCTCCCCCTCCTCCATCTCCCCGCCGCCATGTCCATGGGCGCCCCCGCCCTGACCCGGCCCGGCGGCCTCCTTTGCTGCCGAAACCCCAACGCCGCACCCTGCCATCCCCACCGTCTGGCCATCCCGCCTTCTCTGAGCCCCTTCTAAGCCTGTCGGAGTTGGAGAAGAAGAGGGAAAGAGACTGGAGATGGAGAAGAGAAAATTTGAGTGTTGGATTGCTCCAAATCACTCGAGTGATGTTTAGCTTTAGTCTGTTTGGTTTGGTCGACTAAACTTTAGGACTAAACTCAGTCACTTTTAGTCCCTAAAATACCAAACGGGGTGATGATTAAAGTAGTTTAGTCACCTTTTAGTCAGTCAGGTGACTAAAATTTAGTCCAGTAACCAAAGAGGGCCTTGCTCCTTTTTTTTCATTTTGGATTTCTATAAAACCTTCCTGCTGGAATTTTAACGACCGACCCGAGTTTTCCGCCATGGGACACTGAAACAGAATATGTTCAGAGTCCAGAAACTGGACGTCATATAAAACATAAGTTCACCCGACCCGATTACGCTACGCACTGCCTTGCATAACCTGCATTAAATGGAAGATGTCATTTCCCGGGTGAATTTTGTGTGACCAGGCTATTCTGTGCCGCAACCATTGGTACCATCATTCCCGGGGATCTGGACGTACTCAGAGGAAACTCCAGCGGTAGATGCCAACCTTGTCCGGGGACCGGCGTGCTCCGGTTGCTGGATCTGGCGTGGCCGTCTGGGTGGCAACCGGCAAATCTAGTGGCTGGCAGCAACGGTGGAGAGCCGATGCACGCCAGGTAGAGGTAAGTGGCTTGTTAAAGAAACTTATTTTTGAGATCTATAATCTATAAAATACATATTTTTCACTATTGTGTGCATGTGTACTTGGTATACATGGTGACCTATACTATTTACGTTTACTTTGAATTTTAAACTGTGTTATAACTGGGCAATTGAGAAACGTATTTAGTATAATCTATGGTTATTTTATTATTTTCCATAATAGCTTACATTGGTAATTTAGATACATTTGAGGGATATTTAAGTTTACAATAGAGTTAGATAGATGCAAATTAAAGAGGCTATTATATACTATTTTTTGTCAAAGGTGGGTAATTTAAAAGAAAGTTATGTCCTAAATTAAATTATATTCAAAATGGTAGACTTTGGTGGTTTTGATGTATATTTAGGGGTCGTTTATGTTTTTTATTGTGGCACAACTGCATAAGTGAGTAGTGTAAAATAGACATCCTCTTTGATGATTTGAGTCACAGAAATTAATGACTAGAAGTTTCCAAGTACTTTGAGAATTCTAGAATTTGTCTTTTTTTCCTAATATATTTTTAGGATAAATATGTAGGGTCTGCTGAGGGCTTTTAGTTAGTAATATTAATATATGTGTTATCATGTTTTGCATTGCACCCCTAGGTCTTCAATATGTATTTAGTTGAACATAAGCTTATATTGATGGGACAGGGGTTCGGGGGTTTTCTGGATCTGCACGAGAAAGTCTTCTTATTAGCAAAATGCACGAGCTATCTTACCCCCATAGGCCGAGTTATATCAGTTATTGTAGGGATGGGAATCGATCGGCTTAACCCTAGCCTTTGGACCCTTCCTAGTGGCCTTAAGGCCAATTTTAGGGTCCACATGGTTGATATATTTCACCTAAAAGGCTATGCTCTCCGTAACCCATTGGATAGTATGAATCATCCTAATTTTTTTTCTGCTATCTCAGCCATGAATACAATTGACACTTCTAAAAAAATATGAGATGCATGATTAAAAAGTATCATGATGACATATTAAGGTTATTAGTGATGCATCAAATTAAATAAGTTTGCAAGCGAACCAAAATTTTAAGTTTATCTATTTTACTTTCAAAATACGATATTCCTCGATCTACTTCCAAGAATAGACATGCTTCCAAGTTGTGAACTTATGTCCAACCGTGCTTATTCAAAAAAATGAAGAAACCAACAAATTAAAAAGAGTTGTTATGTGACGATTGGGTCGACCCATCTTACCCATTGTGTCAATAGGTTCCGGGTTCATCTGTCCATTTTAGACTTTGTGTTCGGCCCCATATGGCCCATTGACCTTATTTTTGTGTGTCGGGTCTACCTAGTGGGTTGACCTGGTCCATTTCCATCCCTATTTACTATTGTATCAAATTCTATAACACCATTATTATATATTTTGGATTTAAACTTTTGATATTAATAGTTGTTGTGTCTTTTGTATCCACGTGTTAAGTTAAACCTCTAGTGCCTGCCGTAGCTTTTATTCAATTTTTTTTTGTGCTTGACTAAAAATATATTCTAGGTCCTAACTACATTCTTAGGTACCACAATGCCATGAACATTTGTTTCATGCTACAGGATGGCACTTAAGATGTTTAATTTTCTGCATCAAAGAATTATATGTGTAGTAGATTTGTTTCATAAAAACATAAAGTGATTAAAAATAATACCAATGTTGATGTCATATTTTTCAATCAAAATGTATAAACTTATCTAAAATAACAAGACGCAAAATTTATCGTCATGGAGTATTAATATGATTTAAAGTGATTTTTTAGTATATTAGTATGTGAATTATTAATGAAACATTTTTCATGATTGATACATTTATCCTGATATATGCATGTTTACTTGGTTTGTACGGTGGCGGATAACATTTATGTTTATTTTTAATTTACTATGGTAGAAGTATGTAATTAAAAAATATATATAGCATGCTTTATTATTATTATTGAATTTATTTTCTTTTATATCTTATATTGTATTCATATGTGCATTGGAGGATATTTAATTTTTATTTTTTATGATGGAATATTTGCAAGTTTAGATATAAAATAAAGATATTACAATAACATTATCTTTTATAATGATATGTATGGGTAATAAAAAAGCAAATTTAGGATTAATTTGTATTATGTTTCATAATAGCATATATAGACAATTTATGTGCAAATTTATAGTGGCAGGGTGGATAATATAGATGCAAATTTATGGACCAATGTGCCATGTAATGAGAAAAAAAACTATAGGCATTGATGAAAAATATCATTATATATATATATATATTTAGAGTGCATTTTATATACTCATGGGAGTAGTTACTCCCATAATCAATAAATCACGTTGCGTATGTGTACATACTCATTTATCAGTTTGAGTATGTTGACATACTAATATTAAGATACTTCAGATCTTTACTATGTGAAAAAAATTCAAAAGAGCACATATTTTTTTAATATATTATATAATACTATGATAGTAGCATATAAAATAAGTATAACCATATACTCTAAGTATACATACATACTTGTCATATATAGTACCATAGATGATCTAGTATGATGATATACTCCATCTACATACACTTTGTTGGGTCATATACGCCATAAATCTAGAGATATATACATGGAAGTAACTACTCCCTGGGAGTAAAAAATAATTTCCATATATAATTTCCATATATATATATACACACACACACACACACATAGCGGCGCTATTCTACACCCTAGGTGTAGAGTATTATTCTACACCACAAGCCAAAATTGATCAGAGAAAAATGCTGAGGACTACTGAAAAGCGTTCAGTATCACTCAGTACTACACCCAGCACCACGGAATACTGAATAATACTGAAACACGACTATTGAACGATACTAAATTCTATTTAGTATAGTAGTTTGGTGTAGAATAGCATGTGTGTGTGTGTGTATATATATATATATATATATATATATATATATATATATATATATATATATATATATATATAAGATAAGTAATTTTAATATGAACGTCTAATACTTGTATCTCATATTCTATCCCATGTAGAAGTACAAGCTGGATTGTGATGGGTATCTCTAAATGTTATTACTTTTTTATATAACTTTGGTCAAACTTTAAATTTTAACTCCTTAAACAAATGAGAATTGTATTTTTTTATGGACGGAGGGAGTATAAAGAAATGTTATTACTTTTTTTTATATAACTTTGGTCAAACTTTAAATTTTGACTCCTTAAAAAAATGAGAATTATATTCTTTTATGGACGGAGGGAGTATAAAGAAATACTACATGGATTTTGTGTGCAGTGGGAAGCCATTCATAATGGAACATTGGGCCAATAGATATGCAGTGATATGATGATGGCCATGTTTATGCATGGTTGTTCCTCCACTAGCTATAGTTTGATGATATGATACGCTGCCCACATCATTTGATTGTAGCATGTTAGTGTAGCAACAGTGGAAACCCAATTTTGGACATGAACCATAATAGTACTAGCTTGCTAGATTGATAAAGAACCAAAACTCCAAAAGTCATCTTTTAAGTAGAAAATGCATAACTAGAGGTTTCATCAAAGTATTAGTGCGTGTGAATTGAACTCTCCGCTGTGTTGTGAGAGAACAGAGTACTAAGCGTCCATGGTTTGTACTTTACGTGGTTGATTAGCTGAGATTTGAAACGATTTTTTTTTGCAAAGATTTGAAAAGGTATTTTAGTTGCGAAATAAAGATCAAGGCTAAATAAATCCAAACTAAATATGTTAAGGGCCTGTTTGGAATGCGGGATTTTTTTTCTCCATTCCTACGTTTTTTCTGTGAAATTAAACTAATTCCTGTGAAATTTCTGTGTGATTCCTGTGAAATTACTACGGTCCAAACCGGCCCTAATTCAGGGTGGCAGGTCCCACATGAGGCCGCGCCTCCCTCCAAATGTTCCCTCCCTGCTTCGTCTTTGTCGTTGCTCGCGAACTCGCTCTCCTCCCCTGTTACAAATACCCCCACCCGCCCGGATAGCTTCCCTGCACACTCGCAGCTCGCACATCTCATGGTGTCCCAAGAACGGCAAGAGCCAGGTCTGCCTAGCAGCAGCAGCGCCATGCGAGCAGCCGCGTCCATGGACGCCAGCCCGGCCCCGCCGCTCCTCCTCCGCGCCCCCACTCCCAGTCCCAGCATTGACCTCCCCGCTGGCAAGGACAGGGCCGACGCGGCGGCCAGCAAGGCCGCGGGCTGCGGCGGGAGCCCAAGATCCCGGCGCCATTCCTGTGGCCGCACGAGGAGGCGCGCCCGACCTCGGCCGCGGAGCTGGAGGTGCCGGTGGTGGACGTGGGCGTGCTGCGCAATGGCGACCGCGCGGGGCTGCGCCGCGCCGCGGCGCAGGTGGCGGCGGCGTGCGCGACGCACGGGTTCTTCCAGGTGTGCGGGCACGGCGTGGACGCGGCCCTGGGACACGGCGCGCTGGACGGCGCCAGCGACTTCTTCCGGCTGCCGCTGGCCGAGAAGCACGCGCGCGCACGCTGACCGGTTCGCGTCCAAGCTCCCCTGGAAGGAGACCCTGTCCTTCGGCTTCCACGACGGCGCCGCGTCGCCCGTCGTCGTGGACTACTTCACCGGCACCCTCGGCCAAGATTTCGAGCCAATGGGGTAAGTGAGTAAGAAGAAGCGCGGATTTACATTTACCGCAACAATCCTTCCTGTGCTTTCGACAAGACTTGTTTTCAGTGTATATATGTTGCGGACACCCCGGAAAATGATCACGTCTATCTGTTTGTCTGTCCGTCCGACACGATGATTCTTGTGCACTGTACTAACCCACCCCTGTATGTACGCATGCCATGCAGGCGCTGTCCAACGGGCGGTACAAGAGCTGCCTGCACCGCGCGGTGGTGAACCAGCGGCAGGAGCGGCGGTCGTTGGCCTTCTTCCTGTGCCCGCGCGAGGACCGGGTGGTGCGCCCGCCGGCCAGCAGCGCCACGCCGCGGCAGTACCCGGACTTCACCTGGGCCGACCTCATGCGCTTCACGCAGCGCCACTACCGCGCCGACACCCGCACGCTGGACGCCTTCACCCGCTGGCTCTCCCACGGCCCGGCCCAGGAGGCGGAGGCGGCGGCGGCTCCCTGCACGTAGCGAGCGAGCCGGGCCAAACAAAAACAAAGGCCATCTCTTTCGCCGGGGCCCGCGCGGGGTTCGCCCAGGTGGGCGCTGGCCGCGGGCAGGTGGCAGACACGTGGCCCGCGGGCCCCACGCCGCGTTCCCATTTTTGGACGCTGCCCTACTTCTGCGACTACTAGTGTACATATGCAAAAATCAGCGCCGGTCCTATGAATTTAAGGGTTCTCTGGGATCTCGTTGCAATGGCCTCTCTAGATCTTGTATAAAATTTTATAATATATATGTACTAATTTTACTTGCAAAACAAAAGCAAATTTAATAATATATTTTTAATTTAACATGTCTGATAATTATTGAGAAACAATATAGATTAAGTAATATATTTGTAGATGTATGATAATTATCGAGGAATAATGTAAATTAAAAAAATAAGATATTCGTTTTCTTTTCTCGCCCATTACAAATGTTCCGTAGGTAACATTCTAAAATTCTAACACCTAAATTAGAAGAAAAATATTACTATATGAGTACAAAGTACTAAAAGTTTGGAATACTATACAAATAATTAATTTGGATTAAAAATAAAAAGGAAAAAAAATACCTTGGGCCTATACAACTAATCGGTGATTGCAATTCGTAATAAGCCAAGAATCAAGATGTTGTCGTCGTGGAGCCCTGCCTGGTCGTCGTCCTCGTGCGCCGTGTCCGTGTCTCCGGTAGTCTGGCTCCTCGTGGCGGCGCGGCTCGCCAGCTCCGCGTGTGTAAGACGTACGTCGCGAACTCACGATCAGAGTGTGCTGTGTGCAGCGTGACTCCTCACCTCCTCTCTACCCGAGGGCCATGGGGAAAGAAAAATAGAAAAGGAATGCCGATATTGTCTTTTTGGACCGCCTGACCAGTTCTATGTTTTTCTTCTCATTAGTTTGCTAATGCCTAATAAATTATAGCACCTAGGGATTTGTATACCTAGGTTTGGACCCCTCCTTTGCTTGGGCCCTCGGCCGTCGCACCTGGTGGCCTACCTCTAGGGCCGACACTAGCAAAAATACATATATATGTATTATATTTATATATATATATATATATAAGCAAGGCGGCCCGGTGCCCTTTTCTTGTTTTGTCGATAACTGTTTTGATCCCATTCTATTCTATGGACCATGGATATGATGGATGGTTCAATGTTCGTACGTACGTGCTCCACGTAACCTACTAATTTATTATATTTGATTGGCTAATAAGTTATGATTAAAAGTATTATTGATTAATTTATTGTAAAAGAAAAATACTATTCGTTGATTGAAAAAGTATGATTTATGAAAAAAAAAATGACATATAGGCCGAGCGAACGTGATGAGACTAGATGAGCTTATGAAACTGGACCGACGCGGACGTCACGTGCGTCACCCGCGTCTGGTAGCGGTAGCGCACGGGTGCCGAATGTTTCCTGGGCCCGGAGAGGATCGCTTCTCCTCTCACGCTGTGAATGAAAATGCTGCGTAGAAAGTTCCAGACGTTGCCAAATTCCCAACGTTTTTGTGGCGTCCATGGCCATGGGGCGACCCACACTTCCAGACGTCTCCAGGTTCCAAATCTTCTTGCTTCACATCACCTTCTTCCCAGATTCATTTGTCTCGTCGCTTTACCATTCGCTGCTCTCCTGTGTTAGTCACGGGGCGGGGGCGCCACTCTTGCCCCGTCTGTGAGAGAGACATTTAGAGTTGAAACATTCGACATTTCGACTGACTGATTGTTAGTATCCCTAAATTTGTGCACATGTTTCTTTGTTCATTATCTCTGGACATGGGACGATGGGAGAGGCAGATTTATCCATTTAGGCTTTGTTTAGTTACTCTTCTAAAATTTACTCTCTATCCCATCGAACGTTTGGACACATGCATAGAGTATTAAATATAGACTAAAAAAATAACTAATTGTATAGTTTGCGACTAATTTGCGAGACAAATTTTTTAAGCCTAATTAGTCCATGATTTGATAATGTGGTGCTACAGTACACATATACTAATGACGAATTAATTAGGCTTAATAAATTCGTCTCGCGAATTACTGACGGATTCTGTAATTTGCTTTTTATTAGTATCCGAACAGCCTATGCGACATACCACATGACACCGATGAGATACCTTAAAACTTTACACCCTGAATCTCAACAAGGCATTAGCATACCCTTCAATTCAGAACTTCAGATGCACAAACTTAGGTTGCAGGAACCAGAGGCCTGGCTTGCCCGGATTCTTATTTCGGACATGGCCAACTACTAGACCACTAGTCAATAGATTCATCTGAGATGCCAATTGTTAAGTAACAAGGATACACTTGCACTGATAGCTTTGGGGGGGGGGGGGGACAAAATTTTGTAAATAGCAGGATTATCTACAAGGGAAAACCATCCATGTGTAGCTGCATTTCAGTGAGAGCCGAGACAAAAAAAAATCTTACTGCAGTTTTATCTTCTCTGCGTTGAACCTCTTCCAACCATGCCGCATCCTGAACAGTTTTGTATCTTTCCCGGTGCTCCGTTGCGTTCTCACGCAGTTGATAACATGCAGTCTTTGCACCACCGAATCCAGTGTACTGGGAGTTAGTGACTTTGTCAGGGCTGGAGATCGAGCTTAACTCGGCTCGTTAATATTATGAGCCTAAAGGTAGCTTGGCTCGGTTCGGTCCAGCTCGAGCTAGCTCGTTAATATTACGAGTTAGAGGAGCAGCTCGGCTCGGTTCGTTACGAGTTACTACAAAAAATAGGACACACATGTTTATAATATTTATGTTACATTAATTTCATAAGGCGACGTTCATCATTATGTAACCATACATGATTAATACATATCAGGTTCATCAAAATTATCAACCATGCAGCATAGCTAGTCCATCTATAAGCATGCAGTTCCAGCATACTAACTAGTTGCTTATAGGGCTGGACAAAATACTCGCGGCTCGCCAACTCGCTCGACACGTGGCCGGCTCAGCTCGGCTCGACTCGGCTCGTTTTAACTTTTTTACGAGTTGAGCAAGAAATCTAGCTCGCTATTTTAACGAGCCAGCTCACGAGCTGAAACGAGCTGAGGCCTATTAGCCCACGACCATGAATCCAGAAGATGATGATGCTATCTAAAAGTGTACACCTATTATATTGGTATGTAATCATTATTTTCGGCTGTTTCATATAAATTTTAATTTTATAATTGTTGTGGTACTTAAATATTGATTTTATGGATTGTTTTTCAGGAAGAAGAAGGTGATGCTGACATTGAATTTGTGGATTTTCCTAAGTTTATGGTGGCAAGCAACTAGTTAGTATGCTAAAACTGCATGATCATGGATGGACCAGCTATGTTGCATGGTTGATACTTTTGATGAACCTGCTATGTATTAATCATATATGGTTGCATAATGGTAGACGTCACCTTCTGAAATTAATATAGCATAAATATTATAAACATGTGTGTTCTATTTTTTATAGTAGCTCACGAGCTAAACGAGCTAGCTCGAGCTCGGTAACGAGCCGAGCCGAACTGCACCTCTAGCATGTAATATTAACGAGCCGAGCCGAGCTGGCTCGTTAGCCTAACAAGCCAGCTCGAGATAGACCGAGCCGAGCCGAGCCGGCTCAATATCCAGCCCTAGTTGCTTGCCACCATAAACTTAGAAAAGTCCATAGATTCAATATCGGCATCATCATCTTCTCCCTGAAAAATAATCCATAAAATCAGCATTTAAGTACCACAACAATTATAAAATTAAAATTCATTTGAAATAGCTAAAAATAAAGTTTACATACCAATAGAATATGTGTCATCTTCTAGGTCAGCATCATCATCTTCTGGATTCACGGTCGTGGGCTGATAGGCCTTAGCTCGTGAGCTGGCTCGTTAAAATAGCGAGCTAGATGAAATGATCAAGGTGCCCAAGAGAGAGGGTGAATTGGGCTAATTCGAAATTCTTTGCAATAATTAAGCCCTACCCTTAGCCCACTTCACCCCTTATGCCTAGAATGTGTTTCTATTGTTCTATCGCATAAAAGTTTTGCATCATAGGTTCCAATCCTACTCTAGCATGGCAATTCTAGGAATATAAATATATGAAATGAATTGCTCAAATGTAAATGCTTAAAGTAAAGAGAGGGAAAGAAACACGGCGATATTTTTCTGAGGTATCGGAGAGTCGCCACTCCTTACTAGTCCTCATTGGAACACCCGCGCAAGAGTGTAGCTCTCCTTTGATCCGCGCAAGGATCAAGTGCTCTCTACGGACTAATTATTTGACACTCCGTCACGGTGAATCGCCCACAACCGCTCATAACTTGAGTTGGGTCATCCACAAGTTCCGCCGGATGATCACCAAGCTTCCAATCACCACCGAGCCATCTAGGTGATGGCGATCACCAAGAGTAACAAGCACAAACTCTCACTTGACCACGCCAAGGCTAATGAGAAGGGTAGATGCACACTTGCTACTCTCCTTGCACTAATAAGGACATTAATCTTAGATTCTTAAATCTCAATCACCTCACTGGGCTCTTGCTCTCCCTTGCACTCTCAATGTGTTTCTCAGCTGAACAAATGGGCAAGAGAGCTCTCTTGTACGAGTGGGGTAAGTATTTATACCCCATTATTCAAAACATAACATTTGGAGGCTGAGTCAGCATTCTGCGGGGTGACCGGAAGCTCCGGTCAGTTATATACGCCACTGTGTCAGAAAGAGCCGTTAAGTTCTGACTGGACGCATCCGGTCAAGAAAAATGCTTTCTGGAACCTTACTGATATTGACCGAACGCTAGCACCCAGAGTCCGTCACTTCACTGTTCAGCGTCCGGTCAATTACCGGATCTTGACCAGCGTCCGTCAGCACCAACCGAACGTGTCCAGTAAGAAAACGGTCTCTCTGGAATCTGTTTAGAGTTGACCGGACACAGGTATCCAGCGCCGATCCACTTTCACTCAGCGTCCGGTCAGTACCAGAGACTTCAGTTGATCAAATGAACTGACCGAACTCAC